TGTTTTGACCATTAAGTAAACGCGACTGACGCATAATAAATGTGACATACGCGGAAGCGACTTATGTTTTTTCTTCATCGTGATGCTTTTTTGGCTGATGTGGCTCGTACTCCTTATACGCTGGAAAATACGGTAATGAGATTTGTATTGCGCTGAGATTTATGATTTTTATTTTTTACATTTTAAACGACGCGTGAACGTTTATTGAATTTAGGTTTCAAAACTGAACGATTAAAGCAACAGAGTCAGTGATGCCACAGAATTGAGACGTCATGTCCAAACCACGAGAAGTCTTAAAAAAATGTAACGTATTAAAGTGAGTTATGAGACTTCGGGTCCCGGAGCACTCCAACAAACTTTAACGGACAGAACAACCTGCTTAAACTTTTTCTGTTGAATTCAAAGGTAACCGACCAGCAGAGATTTATTGTTGAAGTGCTCGTTGCGTTCCTTCTTCACACAACACAACAAACGAAGGGGGTGCAGTGGCTCGGTGGTCGGCAGTCTTGAAATCCCAGGACTGCCGGTTCGAGTCCAGGTCGTGTCCAAAAGGACATCCGGCGTAAAACGATCAACTCTTTCGTGCAAGTTCACTCACTGTGGCGACCGCAGCAGGAAGGATCCGCCAAAAGAAGAAAGAGCACAAACTGATAATTGTAACAAAAAAAAATTGGATTAAATCTGATCAGATTTGTTGGTTTTGATTTGTATTTTTCTCTTAAAAATAATTTAAAACAAATGATATAACAGGATCTGTTTAGGCGTAACCGCATGGATTACTTTTCTGTTCGAAGCAGGAAAACTGATTGGACCTGACAGGACGGAGGAGCGGCTCCTACGAGACGTCGACAGGCGATGAAAGGTTCTGTTCACACTGCTTTCAAATCCCAAAAACTCTGTTCAAGACTTTTTACAAGGAAAAAATATAATTAAAGCTAATCTTGCAGGTCTTTTTGAGCTGCGAGTGACCGTTGGTTGTTCACAAAGAAAACGTCAAAATATCAACGTTCGTGCTCAATAATCCAGGTTAAAAAAAATCCAACAGTGTTCAACGTTTTTACCTGGATGAAGAGCACGAACCTTGAGGTCTTGAACCACTTTGGCTGCCTGGGAGGAGTCGACAGGGGAGAGGACACCCCCCCAGAAACCATCCTATTGGTCCACTATGGGAGTGTGCTGCTTGTGGGGAAACAGTTTGTTTGTGGCTCCTCAGATTGATGAAGGACGAAACGTCTCAACAAAATCCATCCATCCATTTTCTTTACCCGCTTATTCCATTTTGGGTCACGGGGGTCGCTGGTGCCCATGTCCAACAATCACTGTGCGAGGGGCGGGGTACACCCTGGACAGGTCGCTAGTCCATCACAGGGACACATAGAGACAAACAAACATTCACTTTCTCACTCACTCCTAGGGACAATTTAAAGTTACCAATCAGCCTAACATGCATGTTTTTGGTCTGTGGGAGGAAACCGGAGCACCCGAAGAAAACCCACGCATGCACGGAGAGAACATGCAAACTCCACCCAGAAAGGCCCCTGGACCGGGGTTTGAACCAGGAACCTGCTCGCTGAGAGGCAGCAGCTCTACCAGTTGCGCCACCGTGCTGCCCGTCTCAACAAAATTTAAAAAAAAAAGGAACTGTCCAGATGAGCTGACTGAACTTTGCTGGAAGAGGTCAAAACGTTTTTTTTTTATTCCTCCAGTAGTCTGATGTGGACAGAGATCATCAACGTCTCCATTTCTGCTGGGAGGTTTAATTTCACCTGTGAAAAGAAAATGATCTGTTTGGTTCTGAGGAAACCAGACACTCCCTCCAGAGAGCAGTGTTTGGATGGATGAATGGATGGATGGAGGAATAAATGGATGGATGGATGGATGGATGGATAGATATTCAAGGCACCCAGTAGCATTTTTAATTATACAGGAAAAAAAATGAAATATTAAAAAAATAAGCAGAATACACAAATTAAAAATAAAGATGCACACGGTGGTAGGGAGTCATTCATGATTAATCTGTATATACATGTATACATACATATGTATATACATGTGTATATATACATACACATACATGCCATCCTGTCCCTAAGATGTTGGGGGAAGGTTCCACGTATGTGGATTGGGAATATTAGAAAATCGTGTAATCGGAGCACGGCGGTGTGACGTTGCAACACCAAACTCCTGCTGTGAGTTTGACTCCGGCGCCTCATGAGGACTGTGATAATTAATGCAGGAGGGGAAGGATTCATTTTGTGACAGCTCTCAGTGGGAAGAGAGCGTCAAGATGCAGCGGATGCTTTCCGAGGTATGAAGCACAAAGATGAGCCCATCAGCAAAAACAAAAACTGCCTTTCTGTCTGTTTTAGAGCTGCTGAGCTAAAATGTGATGCAGCTGAGGGTGATTCCACAAGATGACCTTTGAACCCGAAAGGCTGCGGGTGATACGCATTCCTTCAAACCGTCGTTGATCCTCGATCCTCGTTTGTGCTCATTTGTCTCACGTCTCTTTATGGTGTGAATGCTGTCAGCAATATTGTTTTCTGTTAAAGGTTTCTCCATCTTGAACCGTAGCTACGTCAGCAGACTTTGTGCTATTTTAACTATTTTTATACCAAAGTGTTCAGCTCGTACATGGCTATGAGTGTTCCTTTTTGTCGCTTTTATACTTTTTTTTTTTAATACTTAACTTTATTTGCATTTTTCCTCCCTTAAATAAATCCAGAAATCTTCAAAACACTTGAAAATGGCTACATACTTCATTTTTAGTTTTTAGCTATTGTTCTGGTTATTTTAGGTAATTTTCTAATATTTTTAGCTTCCCCCTTTCCTTTTACCATTATAGCATTTAGCTATGCTTTTGCTAGTTTCAGCTTTTAGCAACCGGTTTGTTTATTTTAGCTATAAGCTACACTTTTAGCTGTTAGCTATGATTTTGCTGGTTACCTCTTGGTACTGTTTTAATAATTTTAGCTTATTGGTTTTGGTCAACTAACTAGCTTTTAGCAACCATTAAAAACTATGTGGGTTATATTTAGGTGGTTTTAGCTTTTAACTATTGTTCTGATTATTTTAGGCAATTTTCTAATATTTTTAGCTTCCCTCTTTTGTTTTACCAATATAGCATTTAGTTACTCTTTAGCTATAGTTTTAGCTTTTTGTGACCGGTTTGTTTATTTTAGCTATAAGCTATATTTTTAGCTGTTAGCTTTGGTTTTCCTGGTTTTACCTTTTTGTTACGTTTCTAATGAGTCAAGGTACCGTTTTAATAATTTTAGCTTATTGGTTTTGGTCAACAGGCAGCACGGTGGCGCAACTGGTAGAGCTGCTGCCTCTCAGCGAGCAGGTCCCTGGTTCAAACCCCGGTCCAGGGGCCTTTCTGGGTGGAGTTTGCATGTTCTCTCCGTGCATGCGTGGGTTTTCTCCGGGTACTCCGGTTTCCTCCCACAGTCCAAAAACATGCATGTTAGGCTGATTGGTAACTCTAAATTGTCCCTAGGTGTGAGTGAGAGAGTGAATGGTTGTTTGTCTCGTTTGTTTCTATGTGGCCCTGTGATGGACTTGCGACCCGTCCAGGGTGTACCCCGCCCCTCGCACAGTGATTGCTGGACATGGGCACCAGCGACCCCCGTGACCCAAAATGGAATAAGCGGGTAAAGAAAATGGATGGATGGATGGGTTTTGGTCAACTAACTGTAGATTTAAGCAAATATTTTGACACTTCTGTCCACTAGGTTATATTTAGGTAGTTTTACAGCCCCAGCTACAGCTGTAGCTACAGCCCCAAATCTCAAATGAGTTGAAAAGGAGGTGCCGTAGATGCATTCCCGTCTCCTTGCCGGCTGTGCTCAAGTGCCTGACCATCGAGATCCTGGAAATGGCAGGAAACGTGGCTCGTGACAGCGAAGAACTGGGATCATCCCCTGACACCTGCATCCGGCTGTCCGCAGCAACGAGGAGCTCGGCAGGCTGCTGGGAGGCGTGGCCATCGCTCTGGGAGGAGTTCTGCTCAGCATCTGGGTGGTCCTGCACCCTGGGGAAACCAAGAGGCCAGCCAAGTCTGGGTGGATGGATCGGACGGCATCTGGGACCTTTATAAGAGATCCTACAGCCATCAGCAACATCTCTTAATGAAACGAGGATAACGAGTTACAACGTTTAATTTTGGGATTAATAAAGTGTTTTTGAATTGAAATGAGCTAACGTTGTCCCTGTTTGGGCTTTCAGCAACTGTTTTGACAGTTCTAGTTTTTATCTATCATTTAGCTCAGGGGTCTGCAACCTGCGGCTCTGGAGCCACGTGCGGCTCTTTGGTCCCTCCGCAGCGGCTCTTTCAAGTTTTGAACAAAACTAACATAAAACTGAATTTTATTAGTTCTTATATAAACAACAAAAAATGAATTCCGGTAGTTTTAGCTGTTTTCTTGTAATTTCTTTGGTTACTTTTCACTTTAACGTTTTGATTTATTTCTGTAATTAATTATTTTTTACACAAAAACAACAAAAAAACACATAGGTCTGCATAGTTCTTTAAAAAAAAACAAAACAAACTCTTTACAAGAATCTGCTCTTTTCATTTTTAATTGTAAAAAATAACAATAAATGTTAAAAATCCTTAGATATCTTTAGCTTTATAATGTCAACCCCGTGGCCACAAAAGTCTCCTCTAACAAACCTGAAGTGGCCCATGAGCCACCAGTTGATAATCACACGTTGTTGGTTCTGGACACATTTAATTTCGTGAATGAAGGTGTAAAAACAGCTCTTCTGATCAGAAACGTTGCAGAGATTTAGCTCAATCCAGCTTTTAGTTTATAATTTTGCAAATGTTCATTTTTAGCTTTTTTTTTTTTTCCTTCAAAATGTTTCGTCCCAGTTTCAGCTCATGATTCTAAATTCTCTCCCCCTCTTTTCTCACCGGTTCCACTCTTCTCTCTCTCCTCTCGTCTATTTTTACCCCCTCCATCCTTCCTCCTCCTCTTCCTCCTCCTCCTTTCTGAATGAACCCAGGTTCAGGCCCTCCCCCTCGGAGTGGGGCGTTTAATTGTGATCCCCCAGACCAGAACCTGCTCCAAACCCGCCTCGGCGCCTGCACACTGGACCTTCAGCTGGTGTTGGGTGTGTGTCCCGCTCCTCGAGACGTTTGGCTGTTTTGCTGGCTCGTTGTGCAGCCGTCCATCATGCAGGTGTCTGCGGCCCTCCTGCTGCTGCTGCAGGGATGCTGCACGGCCGTCAGGGGGTGGAAGGGGCTGCGGAACAGCGCCACGGAGCTTTTACCGGACTTGAACAGAGACAGCCCCCGGGGAGACCCGCAGGTTCTGCAGAGCCCGAACGGCCAGAACCACACGGTGGAGAACAGGGCGAAAAACGGAGGCAGAGCTTCCAACACCGTTTCTTACAGTAAGGACCAGTTCTCAGCTCTTAAATGTCCAATTTTACAACAAATAAAAAAAATCACTTTGCAGCTAGAATAACACAAGTGCATGTTTAATTCGGCAGAAATATTATAAAAAGGCATAAAAGTTCACCTGTTCATTAATCGCAGTAAATAAATAAAACCTTTAAAAATCTGCAACAAGTTCCAGATCCAAAGCAGCTTCGTCCCGCAGTCTGACTGATATTCTCTGTGTTGCCAGATAGAGTCGAGGTTTTCCAGCCCAAAAACCTGTTAAAACAAAAATCCACCCAGTCAATATATTGTTACAGTATGTTTACTGTTTGGACATGAACGCAGTACAAGTACAAGCCAAGATAATTTAACAATATGTGGCAAAATGCAACAAAAATCTTCCCAGAGTTCCCAGCAAAATGAGAATGAAAACCGCCCAATGTGACAACACTGGTCCAGGGTGATGAGAGCAGCACATTCCTGTGGTTTCTGCCCTCCAACAACACGCTCTGATAACATCGGGGCTCCATCACGTTGTCTTCCAGGTTGTTTCCTTCGCCTTTTACACTATTAGTCAGGCTCCACTTACGCCATGACCATTTGATTGCAACAACATGTCTCCCCCAAATAATAACACAAGAAGAAGCCCAGAGTTTGTTCTTCGGCAGCAATGCCTTTGGAAATTGCTTTTTAAACGCAACGCTGCCTTTGAGAATGATTCCCACCTGTGGCAAGGAGAGGCCGCGGCTGCGATCGTGGGTGGTGCAACAGGTTTCGCTTCGTCGTGGCCTTTTAATCAGGAGTTTAAAGATGATGGATTAGATTAGAAGAAGAGCTGACAGGAGAGGTTAGGTTCAGGTCGGTTCGGTGTGAGGGATCCTCGTCTTTCTAATGAGACGCAGACGAGAAAATCCAAACAAGTCTCATTCATACAAGTCAGGGCGGCATGTTTGCGTAGTAAATATACAGTAAACTTCACTGAGGGATACAGGAACCCTCTCCTCGCCCCTCGTGATGCTTTATTTTATTATTAGCCCCTCGGGCTGAGTCCTCATGGATTCTCATGGTCTCCTTTGGGGACACGGCTTTAACCACTTTCCTCCGACCTTTTCTAAACTCTGACAAAAAGAACAACTCGCAATAATTCACAGCTAAATCGAGTATTTCTTTAAGGCTGCCAGAGAAAGGGACCACAGCTAAGCAGAGAACTGGATAAAATACACATGTGACAGGGTTCGGGTGCAGGATAACGCAACACGAGAATCTCCTGGTGAGAAAATAAGACGGCTCAAACTATTAAAAAAAACGCTTTCTCTTGAAAACGAGTTGAAAAGCAGCTAAATTTTCAATGTTAGTCGAATTGTTTAAGACGAATAAAAGACGTAAGGAGCAAAAGGATGGACGAAAAAGATGAAAGATAAGTAGAAAATGCAAAAAGGAGGCAAAACGACAAACAACGATGAGTAAGGAAACCGAAAAGGGCAAAGGGGACGCACAAGAAGACTAAACAAAAGCATAAGGAGACTACAAGAACAAAATATACGCCGAAGTCGACTAAAAAGACAAAAATGACATTAAAAAAAAACAAAAAAGGACAAGTCAGGGATGTAAGTTTTTATTGTGAATATGGCGTAAGGGCTCAAAGACAAAAAAGGGAATAATAAGACAAAATGATGCATACGGAGACAGAGTGAGCACGCTGAAGTACGTTTTAAAAGGATTTGAAGATAACTTTATGCATGTCAATGAAAAAAGCTGAATAAAGTCAAATATTTCAAAAGGTTTAAACAAGACGGGAAAGAAAAGTCGCAGCCGCAACGTCCTGAACGAGCTGAATGTTTTGATTCTGAAACAACTACTCGTTCCGAAATCGTTACGAGTCAAAAGAAAATTAAAAACGACCGTGGTAACGCTGACTCAGCATTAACACCAGTACACTCATTTTTGTTGAGCCTGTTTTAACAACAACAAAAAAAAAGTAGTGGAGTAGAATCTGAGCGTTCGTTCTGTTCTGGTTTTACACATCTGTTGTTAAAAATCCCAGAATGACCGGATGAGTTGCTTCAGATCAGCCTGGACGATGTCCGTTTTGTTGAAAACTGTACATGTAGCGCTGCCTTAAAACAACCAGGCTGCTGCTTTCTCTGCCACCGACATGCGCTTCCTGAGGGCCGGTGCAGAATGCCAGCGCTTCCTTCCAGCCTGAACCACCATTTGGTTCGATGGAGCTGCTTTAATGACCCTCTGGTCTGGATTTGCTATCAGCTTATTGTTGCCAGCTGGATTTTTTTTTTGTCGGATGCTGTTGTCAGCTAATGATCGGAGCATGAGTCAAACTCTTATTGGCCTAAAAACTCCTCTTAACAGCACAAATTGCTGTGTTTAGTTGAGTTTATTTCTTGGTACTTATGTGTTTTTAAAGTGTCATGGTCAAAATGAAACGCTGCCTCCGGTTTAGATTTTATCCTTTTTTTTTTTTTTTTTTTACACAAAACGTGAAATCCCATTAAAGATTCTCACTGCAAGGTGACGAAAACAGAAAATAATAATGATAATTTGTTGCTGTTGTTATTTTTTTGTATTGAAAGTTCATCCTTAAATAAATTTGTTAGCAAAATTTGTGACCAGATCATAAAAAAAAAATAAAAAAAAATGAGTGGCACCGTGAAGTTGAAGCCAGAACGGGACCAGCTTCGGAGTTCTAGTTTTAAGTCCCGCCCCCTCAATGTAAACAAACGAGACATTGCCCTTCTTACAAAATAAAAGCACACTTCAGCGAGTTATTTTCACGGACTTGCGCTATCGCAGTTTTTCAAAATTAGACTGGACATGAAACGACTGGCTGATTGATGGATGAGCCACGCGATCGGCACAGAATTTTTATTTAAAATTATTTTAAAGTATTTAGCACCTCCTGCGCATTTGTGCAGCCCATACTGCAGGATAAGCTTCCTGCTGCAGCTGATCAGCTGTTCTCCGTGCAGAACGTGCAAAGTGGGCGTGGCCAAGAACGCTTGCAGGTGGCTGAGAGCAGAGGAGGCAGGAAGCTGAAATCATAACATTCTGTGCTCTTTTAGAGTGTTTAGTGTTTAGAAACATTGTTTAAAATATTGCTAGAGTGTGGGAAGGGTTTATATATATATATATATATATATATATATATATATATATACTAAATTAAACAACTACTTACTACTAATCCTACTTCGCAGTTTTTCACTTATCGTGGGTCTTCAGGGTACGTATCCCCTGCGATAAACGAGGGACTATTGTACTCTTAGCTCACACCGTTCTTACTTTGCTGCTGTTTATTAATTCATTATTTCACGGCAAAAAGAAAGTGTTTGACACCAGGATTGTGTGCAGGGAAGTAGGCGGGACCTAAAGCCTCACATCACTAACGCACAGACTCTGGTTCCAAAATTACAACATGGCAGTTCTCATCAAATAGAGAAAACAGAAAACGGTTAGTTGGTCTGTTAGTATAATATGTCCTTGAACCGCATGCAACATACTTTATGTTTGTCTAGCTACGGAAAGAGATGAAGTAACTGTAAAAACGACAAATCCTTCCACCATATTTGTTTACCTGTGTAGCGTACAGCCGGCTTAATGAGGGTCAGTCACATGACTCAAACTTCCACATGGTTTTGACTAAATCAGCGGCAGTAGCAGTGGTTCATGAGAGCAGATGGGGCACAACAAAGCAAGAAAAATAAATATTTAACAACATATAGCCTATCCTGATGCATGCTCAATAATCCAGGTAGAAAAATCTAACAAGTCAAGTCAGGTCCTCTGGATGGATGCAAAATATAAAAAAATAGAAAATTGTTGAACTGTTTCATTTTTTAGCCAAATGACTTCTTCAGTTTGAGGAGCTGTAATAAACTCAATCTTATAAATAGCACCTTCTCAGTGAATCAACCAGTTTGTTGTTGACATCGAGAACTAGCTGTTCACATGATGGAGAATCATCAGCCTAACAATTGGTCATTAATGCCCCGATGGCCACTTGCTATTCACAGGAGGCTGAGTGATACTAGCAATGACAGCATTGACATTAGAGTGGCATTCGGTCTCAAAAAATCCAACCCGACCTGGTCACAGCCCGTAGCCATCATTTCCGAACCCTGCCCGACCCGATGAATTAACAGTAATTACAGGTCCGAACCCGACCCACCGATATTTTTAATTAAGCTTTGACTGCTTATATAATTTTTAACGGTTAATGGATGCGCACAGCTGAGTAAGGGGGCAGAAGTTTAGAGTTGAGAGGGTGTTTGTCCTTTCATGGCCGTCAAAGCGCATTAAATCCCTGTTTCTGCCTGTATTCTGCATTATTCAGACACGGACCATGCTCTGACATGTTGGGTATTTTGGGATCTCACCTGTTTGGGTCGTCGGCCGCGCGCGTCCTCTGAGTCCACTAATATTTATTGTCAGGAGTCGATACTGTTCAGCCGAGTGCTTTGTGGGCCAACGTTTCAGATTTGCATGTCAAATGTCTGGAAACTGGAGTAGACTGTTCCAAGCTGCACTACTTCATGTATATCAGGTGCCCATTTTATGTTTGATTTTATGGTTTGCACCGAGTACCTTTAAAGAAGTAACTGGAATGAGTTCCAGCTGCTGCAAAGAAGCAGTTAAAGTACAGTGTTGTGTTGCGCAGAGTCCACGTGTGCTCACTGTCGTGTTCTGCTCTTCCCACCCAGGCGCCTCGGAGATGAGCTGCAGGGAGCTGCGTTCCACCCGTTACATCACCGACGGGTCCTGTCGCAGCGCCAAGCCCGTCAGAGAGCTGGTCTGCTCGGGTCAGTGCCTCCCCACCCACCTCATGCCCAACTCCATCGTCCGCGGGAAGTGGTGGAGGAGCAGCGCCACGGACTACCGCTGCATCCCGGCGCACTCCCGGACTCGCCGGGTCCAGCTGCAATGTCCGAACGGCAACACTCGGACTTACAAAATCCGCGTGGTCACCTCTTGCAAGTGCAAGCGTTTCAGGCCCCACCACAACCTGTCAGTGGCCAAGGAGGTGCCGAGGAGGCAACCCAACAAGAAGCACAGCCGTTCGCAGCAGGATCGGAGCAAGAACAACACGCCGCTGATGGGCAACTCATACTGAGGCGTCCCGAAAGTATGCGGGGACAGAGACCAAAGCACACTCATACTCATGTTACCAAAAAGCCAACATATCTCCTTCACACAGCGAGGGGATGCAAGAGAAAATTCAGAGATACATAAGCTAATCACCAGGCTGAGTCATCAGCCTACTTATCGTTAGCATACTTGTTTGCTTTTCTGCATGAACAATGAGTCGGCGCCAGCTTGGACTTGCAACGACTGATCAGGAGGTGTCAAATAATACCGTAAAAGTATCTCATCACCCCCAAACTGCCCCAAATCTCCCAGGACTCGGTTGAGACTTCCTCTCGAAGACATAAGAGATCCTCCCTGAAACTTCCACACACCCCCGAACTGCTCAGTTTAAATTGTGTAAAGGTGCATCTTCTCTCCAGAGAAGATACAAGATAATCCATCTCCTTGAAGGGAGACAGCAACAGATCTGAGGTCTCCTCCTACAACTTGACACAAAGAGTCAGATAAGACGGAAAAATGAAGTTTTATCTGCAGTGACACCGGGTTACTGGGTTTTCCTTCGAGTCCCCATAATTTGCCCATTCCTGTTTTAGGATCGGAGTCACGTGAAGCCGTTTCCTCCAGATTTAGCCAGTTCCTGTTCGCTGGAATCACACAGAAAGAAAGTGGGTACCTAAGGGCTGGAAGCTCTCCTTCACAGCCAGAGCAGCGATCGAGCCATCCGCAGGCAAAATCCACCCGCAGGACCGAAGAAACCTCCGCTCTGCTTTCTGTAAATAGCACAGACAGGAAAAATAGACCAACTGGAAACAATCATCCAGTTTTATCATTGTAAAGGTTGGTGGAGTCCGGTGAGGAAGCAGAGATTCCTCGGCCTGTCACGATAGGCGACACAACCACCTATCTGCAGCAAAACGGACTGAACTTTACGCAGTGTATTCCCAATGTTTCCGCATGTTGCCAGATGTTTTTTCCTGCTCATATTGCTTCAATTGTTTGCTTCTTTTTTGACACCCACCCTTCCCCCACCCCCCAAAAAAAAGCAACTGGAAGGGGTTCGACATGTACTGTAAGCTGAGAGCTGCAGCAGCCTTGTTGAAGAGAAACTGGGATCCACAGAGATACAAAGAAGGACTCTTTTCAAAGAATGAACTGCATATTTATTTTTTATTTCTACATTTAAATTATTTATGCAACCTTTTGTAGTAAATGATATCCATAATTGTCATTTAGTGTGATAGAGAAAATGAAAACTGTACAGTACATGAATAAAGTAAAGGCAGATATATTTGAACAAAACAACTTGTTTTTGTGTTTTCTTTTTTAATTCACTTTAAAATTGCTGCTTATTTTTTTGTTTGGGGTTTAAAGACTAAAATAGCTGTAGGAGACCACATGATGATGGAGTGCTGAGCAGATATGAATGCACAACATATTGCAAAAGGTTTGGACAAGTTTGAGTAAAACTAGTTCCTGTGATAAGTTCAGAAGAAGATGAGCTGTTTTTATTGAGTGAAAAGATACATTTAGATTAAAAATCTATATAAACTGCTTAAATCTAATCGTGGTGCCTTAATTCATCTGCAGTTTCACAACTTAAAATGTATTTTTTAGCACTTTGTTTTTTTTTCAGTTTGTGATGAAAGACTAATTTTTTTGCTTGTGATTTCAGGATTTAATTTCTAAGAGATTAAGTTTTTTATATAGTAAATGGCTTTTTGAATAAATGTAAACATTTTCAATGACTGAAGGTTATAGTAAAACCTTCAACTTGCACCTTCTTCTTGTATTTTCATCTTCAGCAGTTGTTTTCAATCAGTTTGTAGAATCCATATTAGCAATACGCATTATAACTCAGTACTCACCGTGTACCTGGTAT